AAAATTCAATTCCGTCTGATAAACGCCTGCAAAAGCGGACGAGTTTTAAATATTTACGAATTCAATCTTGCAAATTATTTTCTGAAAAATAAAATGAGCACGCGCAGCTTTCATCGGAAGATATCATTCGAGAACCGATTCGACTCGCAAACTCCGAGTGTAGCACGGATCGAGTAAATATCCCTCTAACGTCCCTAAACGCGGCGGCAACGCGCCAAAAGCTCACTCCGTTACGCTGCGCGGCCGTAAAGGCCGCCTCCTGAAAAAGATTTACGTTCGGCGGCGGAGAGATACGTTCGGGCTAAACTGCACGAGTGCATTCGAGTCGTATCAAGCCCGGGCCGCCGGCGCGGTCGCTCGGGAGCGCAAACACGCCGCGTGGCAAGGCCAATAGGTTAGAGCGAGGTGATACGTTTGCAGAGAGACCGAGGAAGATCTTCTATATTTGCATTGAAATTGGCAAACACGACGGGCGCGCGCGATACGGCGACTCCGCGTGTACGAGGGTGCATGCGCCCTCCCGTATGGCCGCGAGTACGTGCGTCACGAGGGGCGATAAACAACCGGACCGACCTTAAACTACGATTACGCTATCCATAGTTCCGCTATTACACCATTAATCCGATAAAGTGCGCCACCGAAAAGGGAGACATCGCGACGCTTCGGCTGTGATGGGTCGCCGGCTTATTCGTCGGGAAATAGATACTCTGCGTACTCTGTTTGCCTTCCGAAAGAATACCGCATTCGCGTAACAGTTTCTCCGTTGTGCACTGCAGATGTATGGGGGACAGGTGCTCGCGGCGGTGTTAGAAAAGAGATTTCCATAATGATCCCATGATATATACCTTAATGATATTACAATTAAGATACTGTTACTATGAAGCGTTATTGGATTATTTGGAACTTGGTGACATGTCGTAATCTTGTCTCGACGGGTCTCGAACTTGAGAAAGTTAGCGTCATTAGTTTCTGATATTATGTTACGGAAATATCGCCTAGAGCATAGAACATCTCGTTCCGCGTAATTTTTTTCTCAATCTCTGCGTGCTTTTTATTGCACTCTTGATATATGTAATTATTTCTCCTTTATTCAGGTTTCCTTTATCCAAAACGTTTAACTTGTCATCGACGCGCAAACATTCTGCCGCATTTAATTTGTAGTCAAGTAGTCAAATGGAAGGATATAGGGAGACTCCAACTCTCGAATAAGTAAACTGAATTTGTGCCCTGTAATGCATTGTGTATGAACTATGTGTTGTCAGACTTGACGAACTCTCCGTAAATTGCTATTTGAATTTTGAACGTGTGTGAGTGGAAAAGATATAAACTAATTTCAGTTTTTTTTTGTTTGGCTTACATCTCTATTTTTGAATATCAAATTAATTGAATTAATAATTACATACTAAATATTCAGAGAATTTTACAGTATATATCACATTTATTTTCTTTTTTATTACCGACTACTACGTTATTGAATGCATTTTATGAATAACAAGAATTTATGAGATACTTGGTTCAACAATTTCAGAGAATTTAACAGTAGTCAGCAGTATGTTTTATTTATTATCTTGCGTTGTAGGTATACTAGTATAATTTAAAATGCTTTATAGAGGCTGCACACATGCTCGGAGCAGCTCACAATCGAGTCCGCAGCTGCTGCATTATGCGGTCGTTCGTCAAAACAGTTTGCACATTTTCCCAGTGCATTTTAGCACGCGAAAGTGGTCCTTCTTTGCCGGTGATAATGGTTACATTGATAAAATGGTAAAAGTTCGCGTACAATTTCCACTTGTGTGCACGATGCGAATCAGTGCCGGTGTTTTTCTCGCGCGCGATATTTTTCGGTTTTTCACATCGGGCACAATAACTATAATGATTTTACAGAAGATTTGCATTTGCTCGTACGCACAAAACCTAAACGCGTTCAATCCGTTTTCAAATTGAAACGTATAAGTGATGGAACTTCGGCAACCAATTTCCGTTACATCGCGTGCGACAGTACTGACGTCAAAAAAGTTGCACGAATGTACTTTGTGAACTTCAGTGAGGTGGACGACACGTTTAAAAATATGACTCGATGAAATTTCCAATGCAAAGTATAGAAAAACGTTATCTCGGCGTTATTCGTGCCACTGATTGAATTAAATAGAATCGTGTTGAAATAACTTGACTCGGAGTCATCGTATTCTTTTTTTTTTTTCTAAATTGGAACAGATATTTTAATCCTTTTTATTTTTAAACTTTTATGGCATGATTGAAAATCAAAAACTGGCGAGTAAAATGAGTATATTACGGACGGAAACAATATTTTTTAGCAGAATGTAATCCCGAAGATTTTCAGGATTTTCTATAGTTTCGGACTGCCAGTGCTAATAAAAATATCGACGTCAAAGGCCCGTCGATCAGGCGTCACGCACTTTTCCCGTGCGCCAAACTGTCTATAGCTATAACTTTATCGAAATTCCCGGAAACCGTAACATCCCCGAGAATAAAAAACAAAAATTTGGCGAATTCCACTGAGGTCCGACGTTCCATGTTTCATGGAAAAAATCGATTGACACCAAAAGCATTCGATGTCATAGTGTAAAAGTTACATCTACCTCGATTTATCACCGATAACATCGATCATATTTCGCACGGAAATTCTCGTTGCAAACTTATTAATACCTTTCTAGCCTGCAGTTGTAATCCCTTTCGCTCGGCGAGATCTCCTTTTTTTATTATTTATTTATTTATCGACAAATGAAATTTTTTTATTCCGACAAATTTCGTAATGAACATGACTCTGATATCTGAAATATTCTATCTAGAATTATTTTCTCTATCTGGAATTATTTTCATACTAGTATATTTAATAATACGATATATTATATTTAATAATATATTATCGCTTTATCTTATAACGTTCATATTCACATTCCTATTTTAGATAATTAAATGTCTATATATTCCATGCGTATATTTTTGGAAGATCGCATCTATGTGACTCTTCTATTATAATTGCTTTTTCTAATTCCAGTTGCGAGCGTGGACGGCCCGAGCTTCAATATCACAAAAGTGAACCGGCTACATATGGGTTCCTATTTATGCATTGCGTCTAATGGCGTGCCCCCCTCTGTCAGCAAAAGAATAATGCTCACTGTGCATTGTACGTATGTTCACTCCTTGCGCGTTTTATTTCAAATTAAATTCAGTCGCATCTATTTAAATTGTACGGATTTTATTTTTTTGTGGCAAATTATTATCATAAAATGTGAATAATCAGCCGTCGCGTTTGTATTAAGGGTCGACAATTTATTTAACTGTCAGAGATATGAAAAAAAAGGGAATATAAAATGAACACGAAAAAGGACATTTTGTATTCACGAAGCTATAATAAAGAGTAGTTATTAAAAAGAGTTATGTAAATGTTAATCAAGCATTCGTGAAGAAGAATATCGTGTAATTTGAAATTTAAAAGTTGTGTACACGCCACCAACACACGCCGATTGTTTCAGTTCCGCCGATGATCTGGGTTCAGAATCAGTTAGTAGGTGCCCGCGAAGGCCAGAAGCTGACTCTCGAATGCCACTCGGAAGCATTCCCGAAGTCTATCAATTATTGGACCAGAGACCAGGACAAGATTGTGCCGCAAGGTGAGTACTCATCTCCGATAAATAATAAACGGGTAAAAGTGTAAAACAAAAGCGCTGAACGAGCCACTGATCTGCCAACGGTAAAGGATAACGAGAACCTTACCGCGCGATATTTTACCACACGATGTTACGATTGCGTAATGAGAGTTCGCGGTCGTGTTCACGACGAGATCTCATGAAAGAGGAGCATGACCCGGTGGAAAGCGGGATGACTTTACAATTTTGTAATATGCATCGCTTGCGGCACGCACCTATCCGCATTTTTTGATGATTCATGTAACTTTACAAGAAAGAGAGAGAGAGAGAAAGATAATTACACCCTGGACGCGTATTCCTCCGCGTAGTGTGCATTCGCGAGGAAGGAAAATAACCGGTTGTAACGAACCTTCTGAATAATGAAAGCTTCATACCGAACGCATAAACACGCACACCGGCGAAGCGCGAGTATAAGCGTTTTCACTCTGCTTTATGCGCCGTCTATAAAAGGTGGCTTTAATACTTTGCATCGATCCCTTTCTCCGATCTGTATCTTTTTCGCGTATCACGGGGCCTGCACATCACACACACACACACACACACACACACACACACACACACACACACACACACACACACACACACACACACACACACACACACACACACACACACACACACACACACACACACACACACACACTCCCGTACCCCTGTCGAGTACATTCAATCGCCGGAGGAAGCTGAACGGTTACGCCGCACTTTTACGGCGGAGAATTAACCGCATTATGAAATACGCGGTAGTCTCGCTGGCGCCTTCGCTACATACATTTAACAGTCGAGAGGTACGACGCGTAACCGGTGAATTAACCGTAACCATTATGATCCTTGTATCCTTTATACGCCTTTTGTAATTTTATTTTCCCTCATTGCAACACTGCCGAGAGAGAATCACGTGTACGTTCTGCAGGTAACGTAATTATACCGCGTTATTGCGGGTATGCGAAATAGGTGCTTACGGCACCTTCCGGTTTCATTTAAACAGCTGACGGAAATCTTCGGACAAGCGGGATTACGTGTTAACACGATCGAGGTGGGGGGAGGCGGGGGGGGGGGGTCGGAAATTCACATTGTGCGCAACATTATTGCGTTCGATACAGATGCAAATGCTAACCACGGCGGCGATGTAATAACGACCGGCGCAGAAAAGGGCGATCCCGCTCGTGTTTGGCGTTCATATACATAGTCGTCGCGTCCTTAGCCTTCCTCATAAATGCCAGATAAAATTGTGTTATACCTTTAACGTGCTACCAGGATTCGCATGCATTATTCAGAGGCTAATTCCGGTCGAATAAACGACCCGAAAGAAGAGCCGCCGCGAGATGTTCGCGCGCGTTACGCGGCTGATACCGCTTAAATAAATAAATCTGACGGTATTAAAAACTAGATTGCCTCTTGTAATCGCCATATTGCCCCCTTCTGCATTTATTTCGAAGATATACAGGGGTCGAACCGCGTGTAAATTAAAAGCAGCGCCGTGTTTCTCCGTCGGTAGAAATTCATTTAAGGAATTAACTTCTAGATTAGATTCATGGATAAAATGGCATTAAAGGATTTTATTCATAGGAGAATTTAAAGATATCTTTCTTTATGCGTTGCTAAGCGCGTGCTGATCAATAGTAATGGGATTAATGGCAGTAAAGCCATTAAAACGGAAGACAAAAGTTTTAATCCCGTAAACGCCATCGCGTATAGAATTTACTCATTTATTCAACGAATGGTATAATAGAGAAGAGAATAGAAGATTTTTCTGGAATGAATGGATTGTTTAGTCAACGAGCATTATGATTTGGATGCCCGCATTGATTTATAGCCACGATAGCAGTGACGCATAAAAATCGGATAGAAAGTTTAGAATATACGGAGAACGATTAAACTATCGCGAAAGATCGCTGTCGATACATTTTTGAGAGAACCAAACGGCACGGTAGCTTTGTTTGCCCTTTTTTTTACGGTTACATATTCGTTACAGTATAGTGCACTTCGGCATGAACAGTGGGGCTAGCCCCGGGGCGGTGAAAACGTTCCATGCGAATTGCACACTCGTGCATCCTGTGTTTTCTTTCATTTCTTCGGCCAATTTCCATTTGCGTCTAATTGAAAGCATTCAAATAAACAGAATCGGCGGAACGGACTGTGATTGTGAAAATTTCATCCCGCTCGCTTTTGACCGTCTCATGTCAAAATCTGCGAGATTGCTCGTCCCGCATTTCTCCTTTTTTTGCACTCGGCTATTGGCTGAACGTGATCAAAGCTAATACGGGCTGACGTTTGTTTCTGTCGTCAGACCGTTAAGTTATTTTCCGCGAGATTACATCGATGAGATGCCGCAAACAACGTGGTAATATATATTCGCCCTGGCGATTATGCGCGGAGTGAGAAATATCGCGAGCGGAGGGGCACATGGAATGCATGTACGAATGGCGTGACTGGAAAAATGATTGGGGGCGATTTCACGCGTTTTAACAAGACGTACCGTGATCGATGCTAGAGGCAGATAGCGTCGAACTCGTCGTTTAGATCGGAAATAGTTCTTGGTGGCGACGTCAAACCTAGAAATACCGTGCTGTTCCAAAAGAGAAATGATCGGTCGATCAAATAAAGAAGTGAATCATGTGACTTTATTTACCATTTCCATAATCGAATTCCACAATTCGTGTGCGCACAGAATAAAATCAAAATTTGCACATGATAAATAAAATAGAATGTAATCGATGCGGCAAAATATAACGGGAGATGAATATCGATCTATTTTTTATTTTTTAATAACGAGTTAAAATCAGATAGGATAATAATTTCTTTTTTATGAAGATCTATTTATATCAAAATTAGATTTCAATAACCTATATTTTCTGACGACTCACTCTGTATAATTCAAGTTTTACCCTCTACAATTAGTATCGCTTCTAAATCGTCTACGTCGATAACAAGTACAATAGAAATGAAATTTTTTTCCTTGGAAACGAATATAACTGGACTGACAGCCATTGCCAAATTCTAATGTCAAGGCGAGCAATTTTTACAAAAGCATTTGTCATCTCAATAATTTTCTCTTACTTACAAAACTGCACGGAAGAAAGTTTAATGTTTTTTTCTTTTTTAAGCACTTGTACAGGAGGACTTTGCAGCAATTTGCTAGAGTTCTTAAAGAGCAGAAAAGTCGGCTGACTTGAGTAGTATTAAAGGGCGTTATTTCGCTTTGCTCGTTATATTCACCAAATGTTAAGCATTAACATTTCATTCATTAACTTGCGAAACGATAAAATTATAGTTCAGACAATTTGCATTTAAATTCTCGGTGAGGAAGAGTTTGTTGGCATAATCCAGATATTTTCCATTTCATTGAGTACTGATGATGATTCAATGCTTTGATCGAATATGTGTGAGACAATCTTACTTTTCAAGATTGATACTCTCGTGGTGGACATTTTTACATTTTTCCTTATAGTTTTCACTTTTTTCAACATTTCAAATTCGAATCGCTCGACAGGTCTACACATATTTATCCTTCATATTTCATTCAAAACACCAAAAATCATTTTTGAATCCGAAGCTACAATTTGAAGTCATCGTCATCGGACGAGAAATCAAATGATTTCGATGCCTTACATTCACCCATGTGACGTAGCTCGCATAATCAATCCAAACATCTAAGAGCCCAGCGTTTTATCAAAACGGCCGGCAAATCACCTATGCCGATCGACGTCGTAATAAATGGCATTCGATTTCGGGTCGGAAACGACTGTTCAGACCGACAGTCGTCTACGAATTTCCGTAGCTGTTGAAGGTAACGTCACAATAGTTCAATCAGGTCGGAAGATGGTAGCGCCATATGTTGCGACTATTTCGGTATTCGACGCGCGGCGATCTTAAGTTAACGTGATTTCAGTTTCGATCGATGCCATTGAATGATGCTTCCGGTTCTCGGCCCGTAAGATTCCAAACGGTGTTCCTTGGGTGGTGTCGCGCGAAAAGCGCCAGCTCGGAATGCAAAACGGAACAATAAAAGGAATACAGCCATGGCCCGAACATACTTTGGATTCGCCTCAGAATGGACTTGGAACGGATAATGCACTTTCCGTGATCGCGAATGTTGATATTCGCCATTTCACGCTGTTACGTTTGCAGGATTCGATGAGATTCATAAATTGACAAATTGCATATAGCGCTACATGGGAAGTAATAAAAGAACGGATATTTGCAAAATTATCAGATAATCGCAGTACGTTATCGCAATGAAAAAGCATTTAAAAAAACATTAACTATTTTCTATCTATTTCTAGTGTATTCTGTGTGTGTGTGTGTGTGTGTGTGTGTGTGTGTGTGTGTGTGTGTGTGTGTGTGTGTGTGTGTGTGTGTGTGTGTGTGTGCGTGTGTGGATCTCGCATGTCAGCAAAACAATTTAAAATTTATTGTCACATTTATTCTCGAACGAGTGACAAGTGGACAATATTTATTCTCGATATTCGAATAAAATCATACATCAATCTTTTACAACGATAAAGAAATTTAATTATGTGCAACGCGAAACGTACGTCTTTTGTTGCATTGCTGCTTAAACTTTCACGACGATCTCTCCGACGGTGAGTCGAAAAACCCATGTCTGTAAAATCAATCACGGGACGAGAGAAAAAGTTTCACGAGACACGAGTGACGTCTCCAAATAGATCGTGCCTGCTACTTATTAAAGTGCTCGACCGACTTCTCCAGCAGAAAATAATTAGGAAACAGACTTCTTTGTTAAATTCCGGTTTTCTCATCCAGCCGTACCTGCCTTTGTTCAGGAGGCGCACCGCGAGTGAGTCGTTTCTATGAGATTTTTCGTATTGTCACCGCGCCGGTTGACCTACATACCATAGATGCACGAAGGACAGACGGTTATTTAAAAGCCCTCGATTACCGCCGCATATTCCGATAAAAATATCCACGATCCGGTCGTACCTCTATTTCCAGGCTCCACCCGAAAGAGTAAATCACGTCAAGGGAATGACAGGTAACCCGGGGCCAACGTGACTGACAGCACATGACGGAAAAGCGAATATTTTTTTGTTTTTTTTGGTTTTTTTTATTTTTTTATTTCGGTACGCGCGCCGCATCCGGTTGATTTAAGTTTGATTTTTCTGGAATTGGGACAAAGAGCGCGGATATAATGTCCGCGTACACATATAATTTCTTTTTTTTTTTTTTTTTTTTTTTTACAAAGAGAAGTATATCGATGTAATTTCAATCGATATAATCCGATGGGGCCGGTGTGCGAATCCGAGGGCAAATTTATCATTTATTCTAACGGCAACGAAAGAAAAATACGATGAATAAAACTGCGCAGCGCATTACTGACGGGATTGCGATTTGTTGCAGGAGGAAAATACGATCCGGTGCTGAAAGATAACGCGTACAAAATACACATGAAGCTGACGATAAACTCCGTCAGTCCGGCGGATTACGGCTCGTATAAATGTGTATCCAGAAACTCGTTGGGGGACACTGATGGCAGCATTAAAGTCTATCGTAAGTATAATTATGGCATCTCACTTCTATATAAAATTCTTTTTTTTCGCCGTTCCTTCGTTGCAACAGGGACGTGTATTAATGATTCCCGTAATGACCGTTGTCTGGCAGAACTAATAGGCAGATATACCGCGCAGAATAAATTGTAGTAAAATTGCAACGCTTATATATATATATATATACAAGATGTATTTCACGTGCTCGAGATGTACTCAGATTCAACAAAGTAGATCCGTGCAAATCGCTTGCGTAGCACGCAGTGGATGCAGCTTATTAAGCAGCAGCTGTGTTAAAATAGTTGGAATTTTTACCGAGATACCGACTGAAATCTGGCGTGAGATAGGGCAGACCTTATATTCTTAAAAGCGCTCGCGCTTATGAATAAAACAATATTTCGCAAAAATATTCCGGCGGCTGCGAGGGGTCGCCTCCGATTCGGAATCACGACGCGGGAAAGTTTCTTGGACGTGCTCAACCGTCGCGCGATACTTAGACGCTATAGTTTTGGCGAGTAATATCCGCCAGTGTGTGAATCGTTCATCCTGAAAATGGCAAAGTACGAAGAGGCGTACCTGCGAGCCGTTAAAATTGTTTGCACTTGTAGAGTGAAAGATAACAAGGAGTTAGAAACGTGTCTGCGAGTTAGAACAATGCGTAAACAAAGTCGCGAGTTAGAGAGTTGACTTTGAAAAGACTATCCGGCGTTATTGCTCGCCTCGTTATTTCTTAGCTAACCGGGCCCTTTCGAATCATGTTTCCGAAAGTTCCCCCTTCCCCCTCCCCCTCTCCTCCCCGAGTTCAAGAGATTCTTCAGTTCGCGCTTTAAATATTTGACGTTACTTTGAAGTGCAACGTCGTTTGAATAATACTGAATGCTCTTATTTGCTTTTCAGCAATATCGAGCATCAATGCAAGCGGCAACAGCACCAAATACAAAGGTAAGTAGTATTTTTTACGTAAGCAGTTGATCAAACGCGCGTAATTCTCCTTTTCTACACAAAGAACAATTCTCCATGCAGTGAAATTGACGTGACATGATTTTGCAATCTAATATATATATAATATAGCGGGCTCACTTTTTTAGAAAATTATGCACAGGATAACGCATTTTGCACTAATGAGGACAAACCCTCATTGAAATGAGAGATGAAGAGACTCGCAACTTAATTTCGAAATTGCTTTATGAATTTCAATGATATTGCGAATGAAACCACTTCGTAGAGATAGTAAGCCATTAATTAATTAACCGCTTCATTCCAATTTCGTTGCACGAAATATATAAATCGATTGCCCGTCCTTATTGCTCGCTCTGTATTGAGAGGTACTTTTTGAATGATGAAGCGTAGTGTACTTGTGGCGGACGAACGGGTCGCTGATTAATTAGATCGAGTAGCCAGTTTGTGCGATCGAATCCGCGCATGGTACGCTCTGTTTCAGCTCCGTCAAAGGAACAAGTGCACTTTTTTTTCGGTATTGTGTAACTGTACCGAACACTGTACTCGTATTCAATCTCTTAGCGGCACCGCTTTGTTTCGCGTTCTCCAAATATTCTTCCTCTAAATCCTCTCTTACTAAAATGAACAATTTATTATACTTTTTACCAGCTTTCTAAAAATTACATTTCGTAAATCACATTTCTCATAACAATGCGGCGAAAATTATGGGTAATCATTAAAAGGACAGAAACATTTTTTCGAGAATGTAATCTTGGGACAATAGCCGGGCTCACTCTTTCCATTTTCCGGCTTTCAAACATCGCTGTAATTTTCCGGATTGTAATTTCTATTAACAATATCGTGTAACGGGGAAAGAGGTATACGCTCTACACCGCAGGGAAACGTAACAAAAGCGCACGTTTGCACGAATCTGTGTCACCCGTGTGCTTGTTAAGGCATTTCAAATTTTCCATCCGACTAACTTCGAGCTTCTCCATCGTCGAGCGTGGAGGCTTTAAGAGAGGGCCGACATACTATTTCAGCGTGAAATCGCGGATGAATAGAAACCGGTCGTCGTGTCGAGTTTCGCGGACCAACTGGTCGGCCGACCGACCGACCGACCAACCGACTGACCAACCAACCGACCGTTCGTCTCGTTTGCACGACAGGCCGCCGTTGCGAAAGGTACGCGCACAAAAGTCGGTGCTTGAGCTTGATGCAAGCTCGTATGCAAGTACAAAATGCACCAGTCCGCCGCGCGCGCGCGCGCGCACGCACGCAGCTGCGATAGCGGAGATAGACGTTTAGAGAAACGACTTTTTAAAGAGACCCGGATGAATACCGTTTCGGCTCTTGCACCTATCGCGCCAATCTGCTTTTCATCGCGGTGGAAAAAGGGCAAAGCCGAAGTTCCCGCAAAGGGAACTCGCCTCTCTCTTTCTCTATCTCTCTTCCTTCAGCTTTCCTCTTGCGCGTACGCGTTAACGTCTCACGGCCGTGCATAACATACTTTCCCTTAAATAACCTCGTCTTTATCTCTTAGAGAAACAGAAGTTTCTTGAAAAAAAGGAACGTTCAATTTACATCGAGAAAGTTAAGAAAAGATTTTAGCAAGTTGCGGTTGGTGACAATTATAATGTCATAGTATGAAAATATTTTGTAAGATTTCAGGGAATATATAATATATATAATTGCGTATTGTAAAGTGACAGTAATAAATTCATATTTACGGATTGAAGGTGTAAGGTATTTGATTTTATCGTCTACCTTTCTTCGGCGTGATATCATTAGATTTATCTTTAGTATGTAAATGAGAGAGGACAAGATGGCGAGGGCAGACGTTTAGAGTACCAATTCGCGAAAGATTCTCTCTCTCTCTC